GGCCGCTGCGGAAGCCTCAAGCAACTCTCCCACCAGCAGGCAAGCCTGGGGCACACCGCTGCCGGCTCCATCCCATGGCCGCTGGCTGCACCAGAGCTGTGACCCTGGTGGCAGGGACCCAGCCACACTGCAAGATTGGCCCATGCAGCGACCTGGGTGCCCCGTAGGTAAAGGGTGATACCCCAACCGTGGCCTCCACAGCCCCCTGCTTTGTGGTGCATCCTAATGGGGTACGCAGTGGGCGGCGGGACAGATGGATGGAGGACCACCGCCATGCGGGCAGCCCAAGCCCGGCCAAGGGCAGCAAGCAGGACCAGGGCGCCCAGCTGGGGGCTCTGGGTGAGCGACCCCCCCAGCCCTGCCGCCCCTCGTCCCTGTCCCTTACCAGGCGCTGGTGGCCAGCTCTGGGTCCCGCTGCCAGGCACTAATTGCAGGCAGCTCGTCTGTAATTAAAGCTCTCCCTGTGACATGAGCTGACGTCTCAATATCAAATCACTGCAATTAAACCCCTGGCATGAAAGGTCGTGGCAAGAGGTGCAGGCACCCCCGGGGAGCAGCCACCCCGGCCTGTGCCCCAGCACCCCTGCGGGGACGGGGACCATGGGCAGGTGGGTACAAGCAGGAGGGGACCGCAGGCAGGTGGGCACGGGCAGGAGGGGACCGTGGGCAGTGCGAGGCCAGGGGTGGGGGCTGCACAGCCTGAGAGCACAGCAATCTTGCAAACACTGTATTGCTCGGCTCAGTCACTACCAGGGGTTAAAACCAAACCGTAGGGGCCAGTGACGGCATGGAGGAGGGCGTCTTCCCAGAAGACAGATCGGTGTGTCCTCGCCGGAGGACAAGGCAGCAGAGGGGCCGGGCGCCTGCCTCCATCCGGCGCCCGCTCCAGGGCCTGGGGGTCGCCAGTCCCCCGGGGCAGGGGGTCCACGGGGGAAGGCACAAGATGAGGCGATGGCCCTGGGGCAGAGCAGGCGTCCGCTGAGCTGCAGGGAGCCCAGCGCTGGGGCAGGGCGGCTGGCGGGGCCGGTGTGCAGCGATGCTGGCGGGAAGCGAGGTCCCTGGGAAGGGGAGAGCCCCATCAGGGGATGCTGTGGCATGGCAAGGGGGACCAGCCCCTGGGGGCACCCACTGCTTGGGAGCCCCCC